TGGTTGGAACTTGGACCTTCCAACTCTGTTATTCTATTCTGTTAAGCTTGTATATGAACCTGAGGAGGTATATTTTCTCAAGGCCTTATTTCCAATTACCAGAACTGATATTTCGGATATTATGATTTATATCTTACTAAATAAGCCAGATGACCTTGCCCTTTGCGTAGTTAATACTCAAAGGGTCACAAAAGCGACAGCAAACACGTAAGACAGAAAGCAACAAGAAACAGGACCTTGGATAGCTCCAAGTAAGTCCTCTTCATTTAATTTTTTTTTTCTGTTTGGCTAAAAACAGGATGCCGATGATTTATTTATTTGCTGTATTTTATTCTGCTTGAACACACTCTGGATGCAAAGGTACCAAGGTCGACTTTGGGAAAGATTCAAAAATAGAGCTATGAATGCAGATTAAACCCCACTTCTCTAATCACAACAACCAGTGAAAGACCAGCATTGATTTCCAGATGTTTACCATGCATTCTTTAAAATGACTTTTGACCTGAGAGCCCTAAGTGGTTGGGGAACTTTAACGGCCCTTTCAAAATGACATGGCTTTTAAAATATGGAGGAGACACTCCCACTTGGCTTCCCTGGCTCATTCTAACATTGTGGAATACAGAGCCTTGGATATAGGATTTGGGCCCCATTGAGATGGATAAATTTCATTTTTAGCAAGATGAATGCTTGAATATTGACTAGCTCAACACTATAACAGGAAGGAGACACAAATAATCCTTGCTGAAATTATAAAGAAGATCTCCAGGCACTTGAAAGCTGCCCATAGAAAACAATAAAGGAATCCAGGATTTTAACAGAGCCCTAGCTGAATAGCAGGACAGGTAGTCCATGACTTACGACCACCATGGAGCCCCCAAAACTTTCTGTTGTTAAGTGAGACATTTGTTCAGTGAATTTGACCCCATTTTACGATCTTTCTTGCCTCAGTTGTAAAGTGAATCACTGCATTTGATAAGTTAGTAAGTCGAAAACATGTACATTCTCTTATTTGCAAATAAATAGAAGGCACCAGAAAGCAAGAGAAATCCTATTTGATATAATTTGTTGCGAACATGAGAAGTTCTCTCATCCCTCGGTGAGATGAACAATTGCAGTTATCTTCTACACCTGGTAATAACATCAATGTTCTGCAAGATCATCGGTTGCTCTCTTTCTTCTTTGGAAGAGATTGTGAAGACCAGACACCTCTCTAGAGCACTTAAAATCTCCAAAGACCGTTTTCATCCTGGACATTCATATTTCGAACTGTTACCATCAGGGAGGCATTATAGGTGTCTTAAAATGAGGACTAAGAGACCGAGAAACAATTTCTTTTCCAAGGCAAAAATTGTCTTGAATCAAACAATACATATGTGATTTAGTCCTATGTATATAGTGGCATTTTTAAACTATCTAACTTACTATATGATTTAGACAGATTTTAGACTAGGTTTTTAATTATTATTATTTTAATTATTTTAATTTTTAAATAATCTGTAGTGTGATTGTGATGTGGTGTTTGGGGCACTGTGCTGGAGTAGCTTTCAAATTTCATTGTATTTGTAGAATGTAATGACAATAAAGCTATTCTATTCTATTCTATTCTATTCTATTCTATTCTATTCTATTCTATTCTATTCTAT